CAAATGAAATACATTTAATTCAATCAAATTGAGACACATTGACATTTATAAATATGAAATGAGCGAAATAAGAAATAATAGAAATACATGACATATATGATGAAACAACATAAAAAGAAATAAAGAATAAAAATAAACTTATAATAATAAATAGAATAAAATAGATGAAAGAAGTTGTTTAGAACAAACAAAAATATAAAATGCAAGAGAATAAAATAAAGAAACGAATGTAAAATAGACAAACGTAATGTTTAAGTAAAAATAATAATAAAAACATAATTATTTCATGAAGAATATGTAGAAAAAGAATGAAGGATAACCAAAAGAAGAAATATAGAAAAGAAGAAAATATACAAATCAAACATATCAAAATATGATGTAATATTTAATTCATTTGATATAGATTCAAAAAAAAAACAAATAGAAATATAAGAAATAAAAAATACCATTAATTAAGTAAAGCAAATGAATAAAATAATACAAAAAGAATAAATAGTTAATAATGAAGAGAAACAATAAATACAAACTCTTCCCAAATAATGTAAATTGATTAATATTTAATTCATAATAAAATAAATATAAAATACTTTTAACTCACGAAACAAACTAATTTGGAAGTTTTAATTATTTAAACACTAGTTCGTTACAAAAAAAAATTAAAAAAATTGATATTCTATTTGACTTATATTAGAGAAAGAGTTTAAGGTAAAAGAAGTAAATTATATTGAATATGACATAATAATAAATTCTCATTTATTATAATATCTAAATATATAAATTTTATTATTAACTTTTTTTATAAATTTTTTTTCTGAGTAAATTTGATACAATATTTTTGTAAATAGTAAACTCTAACTTTTTGACTCTAGAATAACCGTTTTAAGTTATTTTTAGTTATCATCATTATTTTTTTTGTTTACCTTTATATAGTCAAATAATGAATAAAACAAAAATAAGTAAGTTAAACTTCTTTCACATGAACAAACTCTTGTTTGTTTTTCCAATAATACCATAATAATGCCATGAGAATTAGAAGAAGAACACCAGTGACTAGAATTAAAACCAACCAATTTTGTTTTATCCAATTATATTTATTGTACTTTTCTTCAGTATGTTTTCTTTGAATATAGAATTTTGATAATGCAAATGAAGTAGAAGATAAATGAGGGTTAATAACAATTTCTGCATATAACAAATCACCATTCCATGACTTTGTTGTTGTTAAGAACGTAGAGTTGATTATAAATTTAATTGGTTGTTGTGCTAGATATTGTTCTTTTGTAATATTTGAAGCAAAGTTTTCAGACCGATCATAAAAATGATAAAAATTTATAATGTTTACTTGTAACTGACGTTCAGGGTCGGATGAAAAAATAAGAGAAGATGTATTGATCCAATAGTGGTATTGGTCATCATACTTTACTTGATTAGTACAGTTGATATAAACAGAAATTTCTATATCACTAACACCGTCAAAAGGATATATTTGAATAGCAAATTCTTCGTTAGGATCTTCTTGGTCAAGGTATTTACTTTGTGAAAATGATTGAACATTTGACTCTAGTCTAACTAAATTACATTCTACATCAGATTGTTCTTCACACCATTTTCCTTTTTTATCTGGTGGACATAGACAATGTGATACTAATCTTGTTTCATTACAATTTATATTACAAGGTTGTGTATTATTAAATCTTATATCACAATGATATTCTTCAGGACAACCAACAGTAATTTGAGTGCATTGACTCTTATCATTACAAAGAACAGGTACAGTAAAACAATTTTTAAATTGTGAATAATCAGTAGTAGAATAAAAATGATTAGAAATAACTTTATCATCACAAACTAGCTATACGGATCATTAAATTTTTATTTCATTTTATAAAATAACTCTAATTATAAACAAACATTCATTGTTGAACAATTATATGCATAATGAGTTGAATCAATAAGTGTTGTATTATCACAAACTAAAGAAATATCAACTTCCGACATATAACGAGTATCATTATTCTTATTATTATATTTGAAAATAACACATTTATTAAATTTGAATTGACCTATTTCAAAAAGATTTTCATCAATAAAAAATTCATTAACAGTACATTCTGTTGTTTCACATGTAGAATCTGTAACAGTAATTTCTGATGCATTGAAATATTCTTGATCAATAAAATATTCATTAATTCTAACAGTATAATGCCCACCACACGTACTAATATTTAAATTGTAATATTCCTTTTCACCACTTCCACAATCTACAAAATAATTATTTATTAACTATGTTATTTTGGTAACAAACCATGATCAATATTTATTATTTGTTCATTCATCTCTGAGTCAGATGATGTAGTAGTTTCTTCATCTTCTTCAGGAATATCTTTAGAATAGTCTCTATTTTTTCCATGTGGATGATTATAAGCAAAAATTAAGTCTTTTTTGAGTTTATGAATTCCGTCCATTCCTTGTTTTATTTCATCAATAAACTTTTCTTTAACTTCATTAACATACTTTTGAGTTTCTTGACAATGACAACATAAAACAATGAAACTTAACCAAATGATGAAAGTCTTCATAACGAACAAAACAATTGATTAAATTATTTCTTAGATAAGAGTTGTGAAAAATTAAAAATACCAAAAAGAAAAAAAAAAAGAAATTAAATAGATTCATATGTCAAAAAACTCTCCATCTGAACCAAATCAATGGGATGAGAAACGTATTGAATCAAGACAACAATATCTTCCAAAAAGAGAGTTCCAAAAATTAAGAGAAATAAGAGATGAAATTGAAGATGAAAAAGAAATGTTCAATGAAAATGAATTAACAGAAACAGAAAAGAAAGAATTACAAAGAAAAATAGATATTTATAATTTAGCAAAACAACGCATTGCCCTAGAACAAATTAATGAGCCTCAATATAATATTCCTAAAGCAGGTAGTGTTATAGAAGAGAAACCAATTTATGATAATTATAAAGATGAAGATAATGAACAATGGATGAACACTCAAAAGAAAGCTATTTTTATTGGTAAAAGTATAGATGAACGAAGTAAAATAGATGATGGTTCTTTTGAAAAAATGATACTTCAAGAAGATGAAGATTCTCTCGAACGGGAAATATTAGAATTACGAGCAAAAGAATTAGAAGAAATCCCTTCAAAAAGAACAAAACAAGATGAAATGAATGAAATTAGAAAATCTTTACCTGTATATCAAAAACGTGAAGAATTTTTAAAATTAGTTAGAAATAACCAAATTGTTATTATTGCAGGAGAAACAGGCAGTGGTAAAACAACACAATTACCTCAATATTTATATGAAGATGGATATTGTAAAAAAGGAAAAATAGGTGTTACACAACCAAGAAGAGTTGCTTGCATGAGTATTGCAAGAAGAGTTTCAGAAGAGGTTGGAACTCGATTAGGAGGAATGGTTGGGTATACAGTTCGATTTGAAGATGTTACATCTGATAGAACATTAATTCAGTATATGACAGATGGAATGTTATTAAGAGGATTTTTGAATCAACCAGATTTATCTGATTATAGTTGTATAATGATAGATGAAGCACATGAAAGAACAATAGCAACAGATTTGTTATTTGGATTATTAAAAGATATAATCAGATTTAGGTCAGACCTAAAATTGATTATAGCATCAGCCACTTTAGAAACTCAAAAATTTTCTGAGTATTTTGATAATGCACCAGTATTTATTATTCCAGGAAGAAGATTTCCTGTCACAATTGAATATTTAACAGAGCCTGAACCTGACCCATTAGTTGCTGCTGTAAATAGAACTATTCAAATTCATACAACAATGCCAAAAGGTGATATTTTAATATTTCTTACAGGACAAGAAGAAGTTGATGAGTGTGCTGAAGCAATAAAAGAAAGGACAAGAGGATATGGTACAAAAATGGATGAATTGATCATTACAAGAATTTATGCTGCACTACCTAGTGATATTCAAGCTCAAATATTTATTCCAACACCTCCAAATGCAAGGAAAGTTGTTGTTGCCACAAATATTGCAGAAACATCACTTACAGTTGATGGAATTGTTTATGTTATTGATTCTGGGTATTGTAAAATTAATGAATATAACTCTAGAACGGGAATGGAAAGTTTAAAAATTGTTCCAATTAGTAAAGCATCTGCAGACCAAAGAGCTGGAAGAGCTGGTCGTGTATCTCCTGGGAAGTGTTATAGACTTTATACTAAAGATGCCTTTAATAAAGAACTACCAGAATCAACACCACCTGAAATTATTCGATCTAATCTTTCATCTGTAATTTTATTATTAAAAACACTTGGAATTGATGATATTCTTCACTTTGACTTTATGGATTCTCCAAGTCCTGAATCATTAATGAGAGCTCTTGAAGAATTATATGCATTAGGGGCTTTCAATCAAAAGGGAGAATTAACTCAAAGAGGGCAAAAAATGGCAGAATTTCCTATAGCACCAACATTAGCAAGAGTACTTATTGGATCTGAACAATATCAATGTTCTGAAGAAATTGCAACAATTTGTGCAATGTTACAAATATCAGGAGAATTGTTTTATAGACCAAAAGAAAAAGCTCAAATAGCAGATACAATTAAAAAAGGTTTCGTTAGACCTGAAGGAGATCATCTTACTCTTTTAGGTGTTTATAATTCATGGGTTGATGCTGGCAAATCAGATGGATGGTGTAGAGACAATTTTCTTCAGGCACGAGCATTAAATAAGGCAAATGATATTAGAGACCAATTAGTTAGTATAATGGAACGAGTTGATATTCAAATGTTCAAATCAAAAGATAACGTGTCAATACTTAAAGCACTGTTAAGTGGGTATTTCCTTAATACAGCTCAATTAACTAAAGAAGGAATTTATCGTCAAATAAAACAAAATAGAACAATAGAAATTCATCCCAGTTCAAGTATGTTTAGTAAAAATCCTCGTTGGATTTTATTTTATGAATTAGTTCTAACAACAAAAGAATATGTTCGTCAAGTTTCTGAAATTGATCCTTCATGGCTCATAGAAGTTGCTCCTCATGTATTTAAAGAAGAAGATATGAAAGATGCAATTCGTAAATATCGTAGTAAAAAAAATAAATAATACTTCTTTTACTGTTTTCAATAACTAAATTTAATAAAACAAAAATACTATGACTTAACAAATACATGAATTGATATTACTTAGTCAATGTATCATCCCAATCAATGAAGTAATCTTTCGGATGATAATTTCTCATTACTATTTCTGTATATTCTTGACCAAAATAATTTTTCATTCGATGAGATAATGGATAAACTTGTTCTAAAGCTACCCAAATAATTTGTTCCTTTGTTGGTTTGTGATAGAGCTTCCCTTGTGCAATAGCCCATGCCACTCCTGTTAATCTATGTTCTTCAATATCTTTTTTTATACTTGCATTGATTGAACGAAAAATCCCTTCGAATGCAGGATTCAAAAAGTGAAAATGAGACCGCATATAATAAAGATATGCATTGTACCAATGTTCAGGTGTATTCAATGATCCATCTCTTCCTTTCCGAGAAATAAAATCCATTAACATCTCTTCAATTTCATGACCAATACCTAAACCAGGATGAATTTGACCTGGAAGCATTAAAGTTCCATCTTTTGGTTCTATTCTATAGTCTTGTAATCGTAACCATTCAATAATTGTTAAATTTAATTCAGTTTTTGATAACTTCTGTTCCATAAAACAAATTCCTTCTTTAAATGCATTTTCAAAAAAATTAGGCATTACAACTCGTTTACAATTAACGATATTAAATTTATTATTAACCCGAAGAAATAACTGTCCAATCAAATGATTTGAATCTTTTTTTTCATTAAACAATTGTATCTATAAATTTTACTATTACATATTTTCATTACTTTTAAAGAAATATTAGTAGTTTATTCTTCAACTAAAAGAAACAAACTTTGTGAACATAATAATCAGATGTATCAAACTCAATTTTGATATTATTAATACCTTTTCTTTCTAAAACTTCTTTAATAGAACTTCCTGAATTTGGACCATGTTTAACTTTATATTTTAACACTTTGTCAGCTAATTCATCTTGATTATATTGGTTTAAAAATTTTTCTGATCCACGAGGTATACAATCAAGATCTAGTATATCTTCATCATCAAATATTTCAATATTATTTTCAATACATTCATTTTGAATCATTTCTCCAAATAACCATTTCAATAAATCATTTAATTGTTGAATAATATATTCACGTATCGTCTTTAATATCTTATAAAAATAATTAGTTTTAGCTTTATTTCCCTTATTGTTCATTGGATTTAAAGTAACACAATATCTTTTCTTTTTCAGTTTTTTCATTTTTCTTTCACAATTCTATTTATAGAAGCATATTAATAAGTTATATATAACAAATAAAATTTAAAAAAACAAAAACTTATTGAACTTAGAAAAACCTAATGGAGGAAATTACTAAGGAAAGTATTATTCAAAAATTACTTGAAGAAAAATCTTTACTTGTTGACCAGTTAAAACAAACCCACCAAGAATTAAATCAATCACAAACACATTATTTTATGGATCGTGAAAAATTTAATGTATTATATAATTCTCAACAAGTTTGTTTTATAGAAAAAAAGTTATTTAATTCTCTTATAAAACCGTATTTGAAATTAATTTTGTAGTCGATTATTCAACAATTAAAACAAAACGAAATAAATAATCTCCAAAAAATTGAGACTTTGTCACAAGAAATAGCAAAACTTCATGTCCAAAATGCAATTAAAGAAACTGAACCTCCTAAACAAATACATATTCAAAATAGTGTTGCTGTTGATGGAATTTTGAAGTTAGTCCCAGAAAATAAAAGAATGGAAGCATCAATTTTACTAGATGAGTTTAATAAATTCAATGAAAATGAACATATTCTTTTTGTTCAATACTTAAAACAAGAATTAGAAGAAGAAGGAATTAATGTATTCTCTAAAGAAGAAAGAATTAATCAACTCAAAGAAAGAATTGAGCAAATAAAAGAAGAAGCTATCAATGAACTAAAAAGATGTGATGAAAAAATTATTAAAAAAAATGAAACAATAGAGTTATTGAAAAGAGAAAATGAAGAACTTGAAAATGCACTTGTGAAACAAAAAGGTAATGACAATGATACTTTTAAAATTAATTTACCATTTAAACAAGAAATAATAAGAGAAAATGAAGAATTGACAGAAAAATTGGCAAATACTCAAATTGAATTAGATAGTCTTAAAAAGAAAAAGAATGAAGAACTTAAAAAATCATCAGAATCATCAGATTGGGATGAAATGAAAAAGAAAGTTGAAAAGATGTATGAACTTCAACAAGAAAACAGCCAACTCAAATTACAACTCAGCAATGATGCTCTTTTCAATAATAGTAGAACTGAAATCAAATTATCTGAAATGAAAAGACAACTTAATGTAAGTGAAGAATTAAATGAAAAAAGAAAAGAAGAAATTACTAGACTTCAAAAAGAAAATGAAGATTTGGAAAATAAACAACAACAACTTATTAAAGACTCAAATTATTATCAGTCTGTTGTTGTTTCTGCTAAACAAGAAACTGAACATTGGAAATCTATGTGGCAAGAACTTCAAGGAGAATTTAAAATATCAACAATTGCAAAAGTTGACTTGGAAAATCAATTAGAATCATTGAAAAGTACAAACAATGTATTAGAACAAAAGATAAAAGCTTTTGAAGGAAAATTTGATCCAATTTCAACAAATATAGACCTTGTTAAAGAAAAAGAAGATACTATTGAAATGTTAACAATTGAAAAACAATGTCTTCAAAAGAGAGTTGAGTGCTTAGAAAAGGAACAAACTGAAAATATTGCAAAACAAAATCAACTTGTTCAAATTATTTGGAAAAATAAAGAAAAAGTTGATTGTGTAGATGAAACAACTTCTAGTTTACAAAAAAAAATTGGAGAGTTATTATTTGATTTAAAAAAAGAAGAAGAACAACGAAAAATATTAGAAAAAAGTGAAAAACAATATAAAAATGAAATTGAAGAATTAAAAAAAGAGGTTACAACAAAACAACTTGAATTGCAAGAAATAACTGATTCAAAAGAACAAGAGGTACAATCAATTAAAAGTGAATATGAAAGTATTAAATTAGAAAAAGAAAAAAAAGAAATTCAAATTCAAGAAATCCAAAAGAATGTTGAAGAATTAACAAAGATAAAGAAAGAAAAAGAAGAGAGTGATATTTTATTAAGGAGTATTAAAAATAAACTCAAAGAATTAAAAATAGAAATTAAAAGTAATGAAGAAATAAATATTGGTCTTCAGGCATTAATTGAAGCACAAAAAGGATTTGAAGAAAAACAAATTGATCTAAAACGAAAAGAATCACTCTTTAAACAACAAATAGAAGAACAAAATATGAACTTAACTAAACTTGAAGGAATTATTGGAAATGTTATTCATCAACAAGGAATTGATGAAACAAGTAAAAACATTATATTATATTTACAACAAGAAAATAATAGATTACATCAACTCATTTCATTAAATGATTCTCAAAATAAATTCATTAAATCAAATGAGCAAGAAGATAAATTAAAGATTGAAATTGAATATCTTAAGGAAAAGATTCAAATTGAACAAGCAGAAAATGATGAATGGAAGAAAAGAATGGAAGAATTATATAATAAAAAAGATGTTGTTCCAAAAAGTCAATTAGTAATCAAAGAAAAAGAAATTGAAACCCAAAAACAAATTATTGAAAAAATGCAAAATGCAAATAAAGAAAATGAACAAAAAATAAGTAACCTTAAGACAGATATTAATAATCAACTCAAAAAGTATCAATCTGAAATACAAGAACACCAACAGAAACAAAAACAAATGGAAGAAGAAATTAATAATAAAACACAAAAATGGAAGATTGAAAAAGAGAAATTACAAGAAGAATTAAATGAAACTCGATCACAACTTCAAAAAAGAAAAGACCCTTTCAAAGAAAGTCCAGATGCAATTGATGCATTCAAAAATAGACTCACAAACAGAAATACACAAAATCCAATTGAACGATTTGCTCAAGAACAAAAACAACCTGTGATTACTACTACTCAATTTAGTAATATTTTCAATGAAACAACCCAAAAGAAAGAAGAAACAACATCTAACACTGATAATTTGTCTAAAGTTGAACCTTTAACAACTCTTAAATTAAATCAAAACGAACAACAAACTCAAAAAGTTGATGAAAATAAGAACACTAATGATGAAACAGTTAATACAAGTGATGAAAATGAACATAGTATGGAACAAGTTGATAGTAATGAAAGTGGTAGTGAAGAACAAAGCCAAATGGGAAATGATGATATAAAACCTACACCTCAATTAAATTTAAATGTATTTGATATGCCTAAACATGAAGATAAAGATAACCCACTCCTCAAACTCCAACAACTTTCTAATTCTCAACCACAACCAACTCAAGAAACAAAATCAAACACATCTTTTACTTCCTTGTTTAGTATTCCAAAAACTGATTTTAGTTCATTCTTATCTTCTGATACAAAGCCACAAGACAATAATGCTTTTTCAAAGTTTGTATTTAATAATCCTCCACAAAGCCAAACAAATAATACACAAGAAATTTCTACTATTAAAGACTCCATTATTTCTAGCACTCAACAAAAAGTAGACCAAATTGGTTTAAAGAGTGACGAGCTTTTCCCATTTGGGGATACTTTAACAACAAAAAATGATTCAGAACCATCACACCCTCCACAAATAGACTTCCAAATTGGTTCTTGTTTACGTGTGAAACAATTCTCACTTCCAAATCCTGTATTAAATAAAGAAAAGGCTCAACAAATACAAACCCAAAACAAAGAACAAGAACAACAAAAACGATTAGAAAATCTCAAAGCTAACACAGCCAATAATAAAAGAAATGGTCTCAACTTACCACCATCGTTTCACTAATGAATGATTTATTTAAATGATACAAAATATCTTTTTGTTATATTTTTTTTATGGATAAAAATATGCTATGTATAAGAAACATTCAAAATAATCGTGTATGATAATAGTATGAATGTAAAATCTCAAAAAAAAATAATATTTTTTTAGAAAAAAAAGAAATAAAAAAAAGAATAAAAAAGTAATAAGAACTTTAAAATAATAAGAGAATTGATATGTCGATTGATTTAGCTACATTTTCTTATGTCTCTATCCCAACTAATAAAATTATTAAAGAAGGGTTTATGGTGAAAAGAGGACACATAGTTCGAAATTGGCTTCAAAGATGGTTTGTATTAACAAATGATATATTATATTATTTTGATGAACAAAAACTTCATTTAAAGGGATATATTCCTTTAGCATTTGGGACAATTACACGAAGTCCTGAAATGAAGAAACAACCATGTTTTCAGTTAGTATCACCATTACAAAATAAAACATATTTCATTCAAGTTTGTTGTTTATCGAATAAAAGAAAGAAAAATAAAAAGTAATTACAAATAGTGTGGGACTGAGGATGAATGTGGGTTATGGATGGCAGCCATTTCTATTGTATTAAACAAATATATTGGAGAACCAGAAACAATGGACCATGTTACACATGTTACTTATAATGAAGGAGGATTTTGTGGAATACCACCAGAATGGGAAAATATGTTTATTGCATTAGGAATAACAAAAGAAGAAATTAAGTCAAATGAAAAAGAAGCAATGCAAGTCATTCAGTTTACGAAAAAACTTGAGGATCAACCTCTTGGACCACCACCAATGCCAGAAAATGAAACAACAATTACCTTAAAAGATATTGTACAACCAGGAAATCCAACAGAATTATTCGATAATTGGCAACAAATAGGAGAAGGAGTAAGTGGAGTAGTATTTCAATGTGTAGATAAAAAGACCAAAGAAGAACGAGCAGTGAAGAAAATTAAAATAGAAGATGATTCAATTAATTTACAAGAAATAAAAATAATGCAAACATTAAAACATCCAAATATTGTTGGGTTCTTTGGATGTTTTGAATTAGATAATTATTTATATATTTCTATGGAATTTATGGATCGTAATAATTTAACTGCAATATTGGAATTCTTTCCATCTGTTGCTATGAATGAACCACAAATTGCTTATGTTGCACGAGAAACGAATGAAGCATTAAGATATGTTCATAGTTTTCATAGAATTCATCGTGATATAAAATCAGATAATATTCTAATTAATCATAATGGAGAAGTTAAATTAGCAGACTTCGGTGTGTCAGTTCAATTAACTAAAAATAAATCAAAAAGAAATACAATTGTTGGGACACCTTATTGGATGGCTCCTGAAGTTATTAAAGGAAAAGACTATGACTGTTTAATTGACGTTTGGTCTTTAGGAATTATGTGTAGAGAAATGATGGAAGGATATCCTCCTTATATGGACGATCCTCCTTTAAGAGCTTTATTTCAAATTAGTACTAAAGGTGTTCCTCCTATTACAACTGGTAGTTGGTCAAAAGAATTATTAGATTATGTTAATGGTTGTTTATCAGTTAATCCTGACCAACGTCCTTCAACGGAATCATCAGTTAAAAATCCGTTCTTCCAAAAGGCATGCACAAAAATAGAATTTGCAGATTTTGTTTCACGAGTTGAACAAATTGCTCTTGAACAACAAAACTAACTAATGAATTTTTCATTTTCATAATTTAAATTTGGTCAGTTTTATTTAAAATTAAACTAAAATAAAACGATGAAATTAAAAAGGTTATTTATTCTGGTGGATATTCTTTAACAAGCA